TATCGGTTTTGGAACTGCAGCATATCGTTTATATAGCAAACAAACAGTAATGGGCCAAGTACAGTGCCCTGCGCTCATTCTGATAAAATCTTTTTGAACTGTATTTATTATCTACTTTGGTTCTCTGATATATATCCTCGAAGTACGATTCAATGACCTCCAAATATATACCTTTCATACCCATTTTTTCTAACTTATTTGACAATATGTTTCCACTGACCGTATCAAATGCCTTGGCGTGATCTAGGAAGACTCCTGCACAGGGCATTCCACTGTCAAGTGATTCATATACGTGACTTGCTGAGGAACTAATAGCATCTAATGCTCACTTAGTTTCATGAAATGCAAATTGTAAGTCAGTTAGTAACTTATTTCTATAAAAAATGGCATTAATCGGGTTTTTCTAGATTTCTCAAAAATTCTTGCAAAATTGGATACAAGATTCATCGGTTTATAATTCTTAACATGTTTACTGCCACAAGGCACTGGGAATGTGCCTTACTAATTCAGCCATTGTGGCTTCAAGACACACCATATGCGCCCCAACTCATCAATATTTCCTGGCACTTGGTGAGTGCCTTGAAGCGTATATATTAGAATAGGATATCAATCATCGTGGCGCAGGGGGACCAAAATCCACAAAAACTTCAGAAAAACTGCATTGTTATTTTTTTTTTACAGAATTTTCTTTAAATTTAGCGCTAACGAACATTGGGTTCAAAAAATAAATATTTCATCCCATAAAAATACTTGAATATGCTTCGTTTCTTATGAGAAATGAATAAATTAATTTTTTTTTCACAAGCACGGCATAAGAGGGTACATAAAACTAGTGGTTTTCCGCTGTGCTACTTTTTTCTGTACCAGTTTTTCATAACAGACCACTCAACTTCAATGTGTGACCTCCTACATCCTGCATCTCACGTATCATGCAGGATTCCTGGACTTGTGAGGACATAAACAAAGGGCATTTGAAGGTACAAAAAACATATGCTAGGGCCACGAGGCACATTTGTTGTGCCTTCAGAAAAATGAAAACTTAATAGAATCAACAATATTTTTTCCCATATAATACATATATTTCTTGTTAAAATACGATAGTTTCGATCATAGTTCATGATAATATGAAAATGGCCTAGGGACCAAAATTTTGCGGCTGTTGAAGTGTTTTATAATTTTTTTTTCACCTGATTTATACAATAACTAGACTCCTCGAACGCCGAGGGACATCGTGTCCTTTTGTTATGATCATATTGATAATGTATACTAATGGTTTGCATGTATTCATAGAAATTTCTTTCAATATTTTAGCAATGATGCCATCGTGACCAGGTGATGAACATTTTTTTAATGAGAATATATGGTTTTTTATTCCATTTCCATCTCCAGGAGAGCAGAATATAGAGTTCAAAATAATATATTACACACCGAGGTGGGAAGTGATTCATTCCTGTCGTGAGATTAGTTAGTTAATCGAGACGCAAAGCGTCAAGCTTAGCTACAATTTCGAGACAGGAATGAAACTTCCTACCGAGGTTTGTATATTATTTTATTTACAACCATCTTATTGAAAAGGAACATTCTCAGATATATTCATGAACACAAAAAAATGGATATATACAGGGTGTCCATAGACCAGTGGGACAGTTGAATATCTCCTGAACCAATAGGAATTTTCAAAATATTATAATTTCACATCATATCGCATTATGAGTGCTAACTTCAGGAATTACTATATTTTCTACGAGGGGCGCAAGAAAGGTTCACAAAATCGAACATAAATTTTTTTCAAATAGAACACCCTGTATTTCATTGCATTTTCATATTCTACTTGAAGAGCTGAATTCAACGACCTAGCACACTTGGGGTCTAGCGGGAATGATTTCCGAGATATAGGGTGTGGAAAATCGAGATTTTTCATTTTTGGGAATTTTTTGTGTCAAAACTATTCATTATTGGTCAAAACGGCTTACATTTCCGTATCTTAACTTTTGATTTACTATTTACTCGTATTTAATTGAAACAAATACAGGGTGGTGTAGAATTCTTAGTTTCAGTCTGAATTCTACACCACTCTGTTTTTGTTTCAATTGAATACGGGTAAATAGTAAATCAAAAGTTAGGATATGGACATGTGAGCCTTTTTGACCAATAATGAATAGTTTTGACACAAAAAATTCCCAAAAATGAAAAATCTCGATTTTCCACACCCTATATCTCGGAAATCATTCCAGCTAGACCCCAAGTGTGCTAGGTCGTTGAATTCAGCTCTTCAAGGAGAATATGAAAATGCAATGAAATACAGAGTGTTCCATTTGAAAAAATTGATGTTCGATTTTGTGACCCTTTCTTGCGCACCTCGTATAAAATATAGTCATTCCTGAAGTTAGCACTCATAATGCGATATGATGTGAAATTATAATATTTTGAAAATTCCTATTGGTTCAGAAGATATTTAACTGTCCCACTGGTCTAGGGACACCCTGTATATATAAAGAAATACATTGAGAATTCGCATTCTCCATTTGATGAAAATATCAATTCTTTCACGGTTTATTCAACAGAAAACAACTACTTTCCTGGCTATATACCACGACGAATATTGAATTACATCTATTGAACACACACGATGAGAATTTGAAAACAAAATCTTCTGAAGTAGAGAATTTGCTTTCTACTTCATATAAAGATATGCATATAATATAATTCTGAATATTCAACAGAAAACAACTACTTTCTTTGCTATTTGCCACGTCGAACATTGAATTATATCTGTTGAATATCCAAAAAGAGAGCATGAAAGATCAAAATCCTCTGAAATTGAGAATTAACATCATCTCTCAAATCGAATAGAATAATATGATGTATTATGATATAAAAATATATAACTTACCGATATGTTCAGTATTGAAATGGAAATTGAAATGTATAGGAGAAGTATACTTGTATGAACTCTGATCTTGATGAGCTTGGAACTTCAAAAAAAAAAATACAACCATATTTCGATCAAAATTAATAAATCTCAGTTTCGTCCTGAACATACCTGAAATATCACATAAGTGAGGGCGAGAAGTAGTGTGGGGCGGGAAGTAGAGGTGTGTAATGTGACACTTCCCAACCTTCAATGACGTTAGTAATGACAACATTACATATATGGTTGTAAATAAATTATAATTTCCATCGTCACGGTTCATTATTTCGACATTGCCTTTCAAATTTTTTTTCGAGTTCTGTTTTCATGTATTCACCAACTGTGGTATAATGTATTATTAAATGTATCGGCGATTTTTGTTGTATTTCTTATATTTACCTGCGACCACTATAGAAAGTAAGCAAGAACACACGAGATACAGCCTCAGTAAGTAGCTCGTTACGCATAGTAAGAATATCGCACAGTTTTCGTTTATTCCGCCAGTATAGGTATGTCATGATCGCGTAATCGCCGTCAACAGCGAATGACATAACTATCAAGAATTATAATTCAGACTGTTTGTACAACTTTTTTGATGTACTATATGGCAGTAGGTAAAGTATAGTACGTAATGCGTGTTGTAAAACAATTACGCACTCGCCGCTCTGCGGCTGCGTTCGTAACTTCCATTCGTGCGTAATATGCCTCTTACAACACATATTACGTAATATACTATTCCACCTATTCCACCCGTTTCTGTTGTTATTGTATGGATGTTTTGTTTTTAATATTATTCACGTAGTTTGTCATAGTTTGCCATATCATTTTTGGGTTGTTTTGATTTTTCTTCATCTTTTTCATCAATTCTTCATAATATTTTGTTTTCAATCTGTTTGTTTATTTCTGTGTCATCACCTGTTCTTCTGAACTGAACCCATGTTTTTTCTATTCCTTTTATTTAAACATATCTGTGGTACAGTTCTGTGTTTTTTATTCAATTGAATTGATAATACTGCAAGAATAATATCCCTATTCAATCATCTACTACTGAAGTGTGATAGTGAACAATTGAAAAATTGGACGTCATCATGAGCCAGAGCCTAACTCTCTCCGTTTATGCCTCAGGTACGAACGATGTTTCTCGAACACTTTAGGGATTCCCTTTCGAACGTTTCGAAAGATAATACAAAACTAATTCATAATCTTCTTGTTGAGTTACAAGTCGCTTTCTTGAAAAAATGATAAATAATGTCATCTGATGTAATAAAAATCTAAGAAGTCGGTTTAATCTGACAGTTCCAGAATAAATTGTTGGTTCGCCAACTAGACCATATCGAGAACAGCAGCGAAATTCTTCAGGGACATTTTTAGATTTTCTCATTTCAGTATTTGTTTAGGAGAAAATACTATGTCGTGATACATCTTTGGGAGAAGGATTAAATATCCTAAATGTCCTATCTCGAAAACGTAGGAAGATGATAATTATTGTTCATTTTTTATTCAACAGTCCCTATGAAATGTCTAAACCAAAATGCCATGTGTTCTCAAATATCCGCGATACGGGATTTGTAAAAAACAATTATTCAAATATTCAACCGACTTTGTAGCTCTTATAATAACCATGCGCTGTACCAATCTGGGATACAGTGTACAATCAAGCAAGTAGAGTAACTCATTCGAATCCACGAGTGGAGCTTCTGCCTGAGGGAAAGAACCACTTAAGGCATATAGTCACTATAGTACCACGGTTTATGCACTATTTTTACATGTTCTGAAAAATTAGCACTTAAATTAAGCGAATTTCCAATATTACTATGTATTCATTTCAAAACTATCAATTGGCTATTTTTCCTTTGAAATAAGGTCTCTAGGAAATTTTTGTTTGGAGGGACTGAAGTACACATTTTATTCTAGGAAGTGCAAACAAAAATTTTTTTCAGTGATGGTTCCAATCTATATCTCATTTAATTTCACACAACCGTTCAAGTCGGATATGCAAGTCCAAGATAATATTTTTTGAACTGTTCTTTTGAAATGAATACCGAATTTATTCCATTGCTCATCATACTGTATCATGTTGTTCTTTCAGTGGCAAGTTGGGCGTAACACAATCTAGTGAGTGGACAGAAATCAACCTAGAAAATTCCAGTCCTGAAGATGATATACCATATAGTAAGCTGGAATTTGAAGTGAACAAATCGTGTAAGTCTGAACTAATCAAACAAAATACTTTGCCAAACTTCAAAGTGGATAACGAATTTAGTGCTATAAAAAATAAAATGAAGTTGGACACTACTATCACAAATTGGATTAGTAGGTCATCTGTAAAAAACGAGGAAGTCCCAGTAAATGGCAGTAAGTGAATTTGAATGGATGAATCTGTCAATGCCACATACACCACCACATACTAGCTCGGTAGCCAGCGACCTTTTTTATGACCAGAAGCACAAAGCCGAAAATGTTTCCTAAGCTTTATTTAATATCACTAGTAAGTGAATGGAACACTAACTGGCGTACTTCCGGGGGTGTAGCTGCAGCAGCATCCGACATTCGTAAAATACCAGTGAATGAAGCTCCATACCACAAGAGTTGAAACTTTAAAAAACTCATCCAGCCGAATTTATAGTGGGGGATTATGTCCCACCTTTCCACTTGAAAAAGTTGAAAATTAATAACTCGCACGAAAAGAATATCCAGCTTTACATTTAGTGGGGGGAAAGTTCCAGCTGATGCGGTAAGGGACGCTGCACATGGGTATGCACTAAGGCTCATCGTATCTTTGACGGTAACAGCTTTTTTTCATTCTCGGAGCGCACGGAACAATATTCCTATAATGTTCGTGGAACATCGCGCGTACCTAGGGAGGACATGGAGAGGAGGTAGGTGTCGGCATTTTTTTGAACTTTTGGAGGTTATAAGTTCTTGAGAACACTTCCATTGGCAAAGAATTCCAAAGCTTCTCCGTTCTATAGACGAACGAGTTATGTTCGACAAAAGCTGGATATTTTTATTCGTTTAACTCATACAGTCAACTATTGTATTACCAAAATTCAGCTCTTGCAGTATCAAATATCCATACTTTTCTCATTGAACACAACGCATCGTTCATGCAGTTATTGGATGATAAAAACGTATAAAATATCTGCTCTAAGGAAAGAAAATGAAACATAGACTTACTATCAAATATTTAAAAAAAAATTCAGCATTTATTGAAAAAACATACTAGAAATAAAAATAAACATACATATTGTACTATTATATACTACGTGTCACAAAATAATGTATCAAACTTGTTTAGATCGCTTTCAATATCGCTACAATTGATGGCGATCCGTGAAATTCTTTTTCTGTGAACAAAAACAGTGAGGATCGATAGTCCGTCGCCCCCTGTAACTTCTTCATTTTACATATTGAAAAATAATTTTAGATGCAGTGTCTCAAGAATGCGCATCGACTTGAAAGTTCAATTTGTCAATTAGGACACCGTTTATATCATTGCATTCATTGATTTTACGTTGAATTTTAAACAAGGACTACATTGAATATTGCTAAAACTTTTTCGTATGCATATTTTTCGACAATTTAATCTCGCACTATGAAAATCCACACTATTTCACAAAAAAAGTGATCTAGTTCCGCATCGATCAGATGTATCATTCTCGAGTGAAATCGATTTAAAAATATTGATGCACTCACATATTATGCATAACGTTGCCAATTATCAAATCATCGTGGCTATAAAAAATCAAGTACGCTCTTTTTACCAAATAATCTCATGAAAGCGCAAAAAATAAAAAAATAATGAAAAAAACTACTTCAATTTTTGACTACTACTTTCATTTATTTCCATTTCCACCACGCCTCATTGCAATGTTATGCATAATACCTAAGATGTAACAATATTTTCAAATTGCTTTTACTCGATAATAATACATCTAATCGTCACGGAACGAGAGTACTTTTTGTCTGTAAAGAGGGGTGAAATTTCATAATCCGAGAATAAATTGTTGAAAAATATGCTTAAAAAAATTTTGAACAATATTTAATGTAGTCCCACCCTGTATTATACACTCCTGATTGAAATTTTGAAATGATTTAATTTTCACTGCTTTGGACATGGAAATTTTAGTTTTTGTCCCAAATTGCATCTTTTTATTACATGGAGTTTCGGAAATACTCGAGATATATCATCTTCAGGAGCCCCCTTTCAGGGGGCCGTAGCTCCCGAGACATTTCTCGACTAATGTTCATTGAAAGTTTTGTTTCTATTTTTGGTCGTAAAAGCCGCTGGTGAAGTTTGGAAGGTTAATTTCGGGACACCCTGTATAAATACAATTGAACTGAAAGTAATCAAACATCCATATTTGTGGGCCGAGAGGGGACAAGGTCGTTTCACATACCAGTCCATAAGTATTTGATCCGATCCCGATCTGTCGACTCGGCCACCGCATTTGGGTTTTCCCTACTTAATGGAAATTGAAGTCTACAATATTCACTGTTAATGTCATGTATTGATGTGAATATGTGAATATTTACTCAACTTTTTTGGATTCAAAAACAGATGAACGGAAAGTGAAGGATGGAAACAGCCATATTCGTTTGACAAGTTTCGTATTATTTTTTCCCTACGTCGGCATCAACGCCTATTGGTCGATTTCGTTACCTATAGAGACAGAAGTTGTTCCCGCTTTGAGGACGGCTATATATATATATAGATATATGGTTCAAATAATAAGTTCATCGAAAAAAATATGCAGTCGACAATACCATGCGCCCGAGCGTATACCCATGCACATTGCACAGCGTCCTTCCCTGCATCAACTGACCACTTTCGTCCCACTAAATGTGAAGCTGGAAGATCTTTTTGTTTAAGTTAATAATTCAACTATCAGTTTACCAAATTTCAGCCTTTTCTATATCAGTTTACTCAACGCATATTTCAAAATATATAAGTGAAAAACTGGAGCATAATCCCCCACTTTAAATTCGGGTGAATACATTTTTTGATCTATTCTTTACATAATCAACATGATAATTTCAGCTTTTGCGCTATCAGTTTTTTAAAATTATCATTTTGTGTTTGAGAGGCTGCCGCAACTACACCCCCTGGAACTGTACCATCTGGAGGTCCATCCACAAAGTAGTTATACTAAATAAAGCTTAGAAAAAAATGTCAGCTTCTGTTAAATGACTTACTCTAAACGGTCGCTGGCTTCCGGGCTATAATGGAAATCAGTGCCGGACTAAAACTTTCAAAATTTGCATGAATCTCATAACGTATCAACATAAAGACACTATTACATATATGTCTTTTCAAGTGGGTTTGGGAATATTTTCTCAGGATGTAAATTGATGAAAGTTGTAGGTCCATCAAGATTAGTTTTTGTTTACAGGCATTTGCTGATTCGGTTCTCACTATGAGAATAGGATATAAGGATTCAATCAGAATAAAGTTGCAAACTTAGGTCATTACCATTATGCCATCAATATTTTCAAAATATGCTTCTCGCAAATCTAGAGATCCTAAAAATACCCTTTCCTTCCGTACTTTCGTTTTTAATTTGTTACTTTTATGCTCCTACATGTTACAATTAAAAATAATTTTTCTGCCGATATTCAAAGGAAAGTTGATCAATATTTTCAGTGATATTTTCTCTCACACAACGTCAATAATTATAATTTCGACTGCACGGACTCCTGCATTATCATTTACTGTCTCATTCAGCCATAAAATTGCCATAAGGATACAACTATATTTTTCCTGCAGACAATTCGCTAAACATTAAAAAATACTGCCCCATTGCAAAAAATTATTATGGGACGTTATAAAAACGTTATCAAAATCTTTTCCGATGGTTTATTGATCCCTGTATTCTATTTTCAGAGGGTTCATATGTTGGTCAGAGTGGTGACGACACAATTTTCCCACCAATTCGCCAAAATGATCTCGCCGTGGTATAATTTAATTGTAAAATTCACAATTGCCATCATCTTCAACATCAATTTATAGCGTTATATTTTTGACTTACAATGGTGAATTGTGGTGCACAATAAGTTGTAACTCAATAACCTGTGAAAATGATTCCATTGCCCACTTTTGATACAAAACACATACGGATCTACACACATGTCAACAATGCCATTCCATGATTAAATTGAGATTTACTCACTCAACTGACATAATAGTTATACCTACTTATTGAATCAAAATGAATTATTGTCAATCGAATAATATTTTCAATTTTTTGCTACAAAAGTTGTCAAAAAGGTAAATCTTTCGAATAATTCTCATATCCTAGTCATTATCAGACCTGACAGAAAAACCTAGATTACGGAGCCACTGATTGAAGTGGGCTGAAGCCATGCTATTATGGTTCAGGGTACAATTCCTTTACCAAATTCGGCCTTTACAGTTTTTTTTGCAACAAACTCTCATCAAAATTCAACTCACAGTATGTAACGTGATGAGGATGCTTCGGAAGATTTAGGCTCTCCTAAAAGTTGGTCAAATTTTTTAAGATTGGAAACGCGTTCTTATATTTTCTACTGTTTACGCCATCTATCATTTGATATTAGAATGCCACCATATATCTCCTATTAACTTGTTTTAAAATTTAATTAGACTGATGGATAATATTATATTGAATTATCCAATATTTTTGAGATTCCGATAATCATTCTTTTACATTTTGATGTAATAAAACTTGTTCTCAAGAAAACAATGTTTTCTATCCTGACTACAGGTCTTTTGGATGTAAATGTTGCTCCCCAAAAAAAAATATTTACGCTTAATCGTGGATTGCATAATTATCCAATATTGACAGTACAGATATTGTTGTGCCATAGAAGGTACCCAATGATTAGAACATTTATAAACATTTGGGTCAAGTGTCCTGGACGCACAAATACTAGTCCATTTCCATTTCGATATAATGAAAAGATAATTCATAATATCTATTCTGGAACTATGTACCTAATCACAATCACTGCAATGATTTACTACCATAATTTTTCTCCTTAGTCTGGCACTGCCTACAATGGCATGGTTTTGCACCTAACATTTATATACCTACACTCAATTTGTTTTCAATTACTTGTGTACTCTTTTACATTCTCTCTATGATTTCTTGGAATGGTTAAATATCTCGGGATCTGTTCTTCAGATATTTATAGAATTGACAGGGGTGTTATATGACATATTTAGATCCAATAGTTGCCACTGTCTAGTCAATTCAAATGAGTTACCCCATATAATATTGTTTAATATTTATTCAGATATTTTCATCACGATTTCAACGATACAGGGGTGATTTAAAGATACAGGGGTGTTCCTTGATGAACATCCATAATAAATGTGAAACCTTCACAAACGAGCAGATTTTCACATACTTTTTAGAAACATGACACTTTCTCTCAATCAGTAGCTTCTTCAAGTGAAATACTGATACAATAAATTCACTCAAGTCATGTTTTTGGGAATTTTGTGTAAATAGGTATTTATATCAACTATGAAGATTTGAGCAAAAAGCTCTTTTGTTTGAAACAATTGTGGCCAAGTGTCTTCAAACATAGTATCATCAGTTCACCTCGCAGTACACACTAGTCGAAATTACGCCATATATACCTATTTTATATTAATCATTCCTGGTATAAATAGTATTTGATGCAATCGCTCCTTATTTAAAATCATTACGAATACTTTTTTTCAATAATAATTGATATCTGCACCTTCGAAAAACGCCAGCTCTCGATGACGTCATACACCTTCTCACGTAATATTTGTTGATTAAGCACATATTTAGACGATGCCAAATTTATAACAAGTAGTTACCTCATGAGATTCAATAAGATCAATGACAACAGTGTTCATATTCACAAAAGACAAATGGTTCCATCTTCTCCTTATAATAATAACTCATTATATATATTGCAATGTGCCTTAGTGGCTATAAGAATATTCTAATATTCGTGACAACGATCGAGATTTTATTCAAACCCAAACTATTTTGTCACCCTGGCATCAGCGTTATGCTTACTAATTCACAAATATATCAAGAAATGAAACGAGCGTCTCGTACCAGGAAGAAGCCATGTGTGTCGGCTTTATTCAAAAAGATAATATCACTGGATGTGGCCGATAGTGATTCAATGAATCAATGATAGTCTCGTTCAGAATTGAGCTCTAGTTGAGACATTTCAATGTATATAAAATAAAACTACTACATTCATAACCTGTCAGAATGAAGCCAACTAACTTGCTAACGTCATCCACGTTTGCCACCTACATCTTCAAAACCTATTAACTAGTCAAATCAAGAACCAAAGCTAACAAATGCTTCGTATATTCAAAGATTATCTTCATTTTATCTGATTCTTCAGTTGTGTTTTGTTCTCTGATATCTGCGGTGATGGTATTCAGTCCAGAAAATTCATTTAATATTTTGATAAAAATGACAATCAGAAATGTTCTTGCATTTCGGATTGTTTACGGCTGATTACATCACGCGTTTTCCCGCATGTTATGAAATATTGTGAATTTCATTATACATCACGCGTTTTCCCGCATGTTATGAAATATTGTGAATTTCATTAATTATTTAGAAAAAAAAAACGGTTTGTGACAGTTGAATAGTTAGGGTTAGTACTTCGAAATAATGAAATAAAATTGTACACTAAACAGGCCTATTGAAGAGTTTTTCGCGCATGTCTTCATGCTCGTTTGATTCGTTATTGAGTTATATTATTGGAAATCGCTATCCAAATATGGAATAAATTGTTGGGCGTAGGGTCTCTATTTGAGATAAAACAGATGATATGAGTTCAGAAAAACCTAGGATATTGCAACAATGGTTTCGTTATTTGTGAAAATTTTATGATACTATGCTGAAGATTAGAAAAAAAACTTCTGAACCGTTCCCGTGACGATTGGCCATTCCAGGACTCACATTTGACCGTGTATGTGTATGGAAATGGCATGAATACAAATTAACAAGCATGTTTGAATTTATCATACAACACAAGATATGCACAGTTCCTATAAAAAGTAGTTTATAAAACTTCGCACATCTGCCTAAATGTGAATTCAATAACTTTCGAGTTTTCTGAATTGAGTATCCATGAGAAAACCTCAAGACATGTATCTGAATATTAATTTTCCTATATAGGTACCATGAATGGGAACTAATGGGTTCAATATCAAAATTGATTAATGCATAATAAATCATAAATTCCTTACTCACTTGGTATAGTGAAAAAAACAAGAGAATGTAACCTGAAAATTCATTGAATTTAGTGCAAGATGAATAATTACGCCTTATAAGATTATTTGACAAGTACAACTCAGTAATAAAAACAGCTATAATTTTATTTTGTTGGAAGCATTTTATTTCATTAAATTATGTGGAATTAGTTATTTTTGTATCTAGGGCGAGAAATGCTACTTTGGTGATCGAGATCTGATTTTTTTAGCGAGGCGATTACCAAAGTATTTCGCGCTCGAGTTGCAAACAACATTTTTTCTGCAAACGTCAAAAAATTTAGTTTTAAAGTAAAAATATGCTTAGCTTGATATAAAAAATAGTGTTGAACTGGCTTAAAAGGCCTCCCCCTATCCTCCCTAGGTACGCACGATGTTCCACGAACATAATATTGAACAATTATCGTGGACTAAACATATAGATCACCTGAGAAAAACGCTAAATCCAATTATTGGCATTTTATACAAAATTCGATATTCCATTTCTCTTAGATATTTGAAGAAGTTATTGTTGAACATTCTGAAATAAATGATTTCATGGATGTTGGCTCGATTGAGGACCATAAAGTTGAATTATAAATATCTCATATATTTTACATAACAATGCGCGAAGTAGGTACTTCGCGCACTGTTTCACTTCGCGCGTTGTTTTGTGCAAGTTATGGTAACGTAGGAAACTGTAAAAAAGTGTCACTTCGCAATTTGTTATCATTGCGCGAAAGTTTTCGTTTTTTGACGTTTGAAGAAAAAATAATCTAATGTCTGAATATTATTGGATTGAAATGTTTTTTTTTTCAAAGTTTTATCGTTTTCTTCTCAAATCAAAAATGTTTCAGGTAGACGACAAAGTTTGGATAATCTACTGGGTCCAACTGGAGAAAGAGTGAAAGAAATCTTTTCACAAGGAATAATGATGCTGAATATAAGTTCTCTCACTGAACGGAGAAATAGCGAACCAAAACTGGGAATAGCAGAAGATAAATCGAGAAATGGAAGTGCTAAGAAACTTCCCAGTCCGCTAGAGAAAACTCTAACCTACCTGAACATTGACGATGATTATTCAGATACTGAGAGCGTTTCCAGGTTTGTAACGTCTAGATTGTACTAGATCCCACATAATATGGGCCACCCCCTTATCTGGTGAACTAGAATAGATACGAGAATCGAAGGAGGATACAGGAGGATCCATATGCCTCTAACATACCAAACAAACGTTTTTTCAAATAGAAAACTCTAAATTTCAATTCTTCCTTGAACATGGGCCTGAGACCACCTGTTTCAAACTAATCCATTATCTTCTTCAATAAATAGCAAAACAAAACCCTATGAAAACAAGTTTTTGATGTGCAGTATTCCTCATAAATTAACAAATTCAATTATTGAAGATATATATTCAAAAAATAGAAATAAAGTTATGAATAAGTATAATGGACCTATGCTCCTCTGAATAGTTTGGTGATTTAGGATTAGGATTAACATGTGACCCAATGACAGACATTGACTGCGCGGTTAATGCCTTTAACTGTTAGGAAAACTTACGTAGGTATCAGTAGGGTCCCTGTATGTATTTGACACTTTTGCTGTAATAAGAGTACGGACACTATGACAAGCAGTGACAGAAGGCATAACCCTAAAAAATTTGAAATGACATGAACAATTTGGCGGGCACTGACAGTTCATGAACGTACATGACATTAAATTATTTGAAAATTCAGGTTTTCAAAAATAAAAATGTCTATGTGTAGTGGAGAATTGCAAAAATGGAAGCGAGTCCTTTCATTTATTCCATTTCCCCCATTCTAACCATCAAGTACATATACCCTTCATTAAGTATATCGAGAAATACTTTCAACAAATTGATTTACAAACTATGACCCCTTTTCGCCAGTGAGATGAGACGCAACTTCTTTATGAAAATAAAGACAGAGAAAGATATATGGATGTACCCTTCACCGCGGCAGTAGAGGATAGAAGATCCGAAGTGCATGGAAAAGCATATCCATGTCTTTGTTCAAAAATCATTTTGAGAATTTGGGGTTATGCCTTCCGTCACTGCTTGTCATAGTGTCCGTACTCTTATTTCAACAAAACTGACAAATATATACAGGGAATTATACATACAGGGACTCTAGGTATCAGCAGCATTCTAGAATGGGCTAATCAGTTTTAATCTCCTCCTGAAGATGGTATCATCATTAGCAGAATGTGCCAAGGCGTTAAAAAATCAGATTGGTTAGTGTTAAAACAGTGTAGTGTGAAAACTACTCATTGAAAAGTTGACCAGCAATGGTGTTACAGATCCTATGAAGTTTGACTATTTTTCGAAGAAGAGTGTAAATGAGTCCGAAACGGGGAATCGCAGACCCACACGATTGAACATCATTGAACCTTTCTCGTCGATCTTTATAAAAAAGATGAGTTGAAATTGAGGGTGTTCCCTTCTGAAATTTCGAGAAAGTGATCAGTGTTTTTTGATGTAGACAAATTGATATTCATCATACAGGACGTGGAAAGAAATTCTGAATTGAGAAAACCCAATCACGAATCAGCGATTAGAGGTCTATAAAAATAACAAATTTCCATTGTTCAAGTTTGAATCCCTTGATTGGGTATGAAATTATGGAAAAGGAATATTCTCAAATATATTATGAATACGAAAAAATGGATATATATACAGGTTGTCCAGAATAACGTTTTTATACTCCGGGAGGTGATTGTGCTGACAAAAATAAGAAAAAATGTTTTTATCCACATGTGCCCAAAAATGTGTCCTAAGGGAACTACATCCCTTTGTTATCATCCGTTTTCAAGGAAAACGCAATTGAACGGTTCAAAGTGTCGGAAGGGGATTTCAAATATTTCATTTATGAAGAGTGTGCTTTGGACTGTCAGATAATTGTTGCTTGTGAATTACATTTCTTGTCAGTGACTGAATTTTAGTGCGATTTTATAGTCAATACTTCTCCGAATACTGTCTGTAGGTTAATCGAGGAGGTGGTACATTCATTATTCCAAATTCTTTGGGATTTTCTGTCCTCGTTTCTGTAAAATAAAAATATGAATATTATTTCAATATACGTGTAGTAAGGACAAATCAGATGATTTGCCCCAAAATGTCACTGCGTTCAAAGAATTTTCCTATCAGAGAGCCTAAAAGAAAAATTCACCAGCTTGTCAGTGACAATTTGTATTGAAAAATTTTTGGAGAAGAGAAATAAAGGTATATAGAAAAAATATAAAATTTTCACTTATCTTTGGACGTTTCGGGGCCGATTCTGCTCCAGTTTTCAACATGAAAAGAGAGAGTCTTGAAGACATATTATACGACTTCGCAATTAAAAAAATCTCTTTTCATGTTGAAAACGGGAGCAGAATCGGTCCGGAAACGTCCAAAGATAAGTGAAACAGGTGTTCTCAGACCAATGTTATCATATATCATTGAACTCGTCTTTCTGAGCTCGATCGAAGAATGAAATGAAATACATGGTGTTCCACTGCTAAATCTCATAACTAAGAGATCTAGGATGTTCTTAGTTATGAGATTTAGCAGTTGAATAGGTGGTGGAAAAATTCCACTCAAGTATGTCAGGTGGTGCCATCTGTCAGCAGAGTGATTTACTTGTAGTACCACTCTGTAGCGTATAGACGGGGTCTGTACGTGTGACTATAGATGGCAGCGCCATACAGTGTGTGTCCTGCCTTAGAGCTTTGCCACTAGATGGCTACAACATGACTATAACTTCATGTTATACCCTGCGACATGGTGTTCCATTCGACAATTTCGAGAAAATGATCGGTTTGCAGAATACGTTTTCACTTTTGGCAAATTCAGAATTTCTAAATATCGACGTGGTAACAAGATACCATATAGAATTTGTGTGAATTTATGGCAGAAACTGCGCATCGAAATTTTGAATCTGAACGTTTATATAGGGTGATCTCAGACCCATGTTATCATACAGGGTGTCCCAAAACAATTCGATTCAAGCAAACTTACCTCAGTACAAAGTTGCTTAGTTTGGGCACTAGATGACTCTGAAGTTCACTCACTTCTACGCCAATAGAAATAATGGGGTTTGAATATGAAATTTGGATTGCATAACTTGTTTGCTAAAAAAAGGGTACTCTTGATAAGAATCGATTACTCTCTTGGTTTCAACAAAATTTGAATCTTAGTAATTCAAAGCATCAGTCAATACTGATATGATTAACAGATATTCCCCAAAAATTGATGAATATTTTCACGTATACAATGATTCAAACGATGAAAAAAATTGAAATGTGCTGTGACTATTTTTGTTGTTTTTTTGTACTGATTAAGCCAGAGCCGTCTAACGCCCATACTGAGGTGTATTTGTTTGTACAAATTTTTTTCGCTGTATAAATCTTTGTATACGTGAAAATGATTAACCTTTTGAAAAATTTTCTTGACATCTCTTGGTCGTTTCAATGATAACATATGCTTGGGGTTACAAAAATTCAGATTTTCTCGAAACCATGGGAGTAATCGAATTTTATCAAGAGTACCTTTTTTTTAGTGAACAAGTTACGCAATCTAAATTTCATATTCAAACCCCTTTCTTTCCATTGGCGTAGAAGTTTTAGATGCTTATTTACTGAAAAAACAAGTTCTAAGTCCATGAACTCTCATGAGACGTTTAAAAGTTATGATATTTCAAAATTGTAACTTCAGAGCCGTCTAGCGCCGAAACTAAGCAACTTTGTATTGAGGTAAATTTGCTTGTATCAATTTGTTTTAGTTTGAGGAATATATGGTAAGTTTCTTCAAAGACCTTTTAGGGACACCCCTTATATCATTGAACACATCTTTTTGAGCTCTATCCAAGGACGAAAAGAAATTTAAGGTATTCCATTTGAAAAGACGTATGTTTGGTGTCTCACAGGCATATAGATCATCGTATATATTTGACATTATCTGAGAAATTTTGTTGTATCTATTCTAGTTTACCAGATAAGGGGGTGCAGTATGTTGAATTTTTTTTTTCAATCTCAAAATAAACGAGGGTCCCTTTTTTGCTGTTATTTTCAGCAAAAATGTTTTTATGACTGCACCTATATTATGCAATGTTTTTGTATATCATCGGATCCAGTTCTTTTTTAATACTCCGATTCACTAGGTAGCGAATTCAAACTTAGACCAGATGCTGTGCATCAGATGAGCTTGAGATCTATTTCGATCTCAAAATTCATCAAATACTGCTGATTATAAAATACCTTTATTTGCGATAGAAAATAACACGTTGCTCCACTTGATGGCAACAACTTGAACACTTCTGAGCGGTTTGTTATGATGATGTGACCAATAAGCTCAAACAAAAAACAAATTTGAACGAATGAAAACAATATGGATGATTTTCACAATGAATGAAAACAAAGTTAACAGGCCACTTTGACAGCTTTCAAGAACTCCGATAGGTGGCGTACGCTTATTTTTGCGAATAGCCTAAGGCCTGTTTCACCGAAATTTTTGTTAAAAGCAGTGGTGTGGTTTATGTGAACAAATACAAAAACTCAAGTCGTGGTTGAGCTTTGGCAGACTTGGCTTTCTACTTATAATGTATAACTTGACAGTTTTCGCTATCTGGGAAGAAGATATTGTGATAAGGGTTCTAATGAAACAGAAGAAAGTATACCTAACACTTCTACCAACCTTTCTCACGTCTCAGTAGCGCGATCTGGCAAACAATAAATACATGATATCTATCATTCTCGTGAAATTGAATGGATATTTTTCTGGAAGGTATCAACAGTAATATCAGGATGTTCTGGGTATTCGAGATAGTTCTGTCACTTTATTGTTCATGAAATTGTATTACTGAGCAACAACACGACTCCGTCAGAGCGAGTATTGCTGTACGGCAACACAATTTAGTTTACAATGAGATATAGAGAAGTATGAGAGCATATATTCAGAACAGAGTTCCATTTTGCCAAACTATTTCACGAAGCATCAACAGCATTTTTATGAAGATTAGATGACGTTGCGATGACATTTAAAACTACAGGAAAACATTTCTCACTATCAATTTATGCCAGGACTTGGAATGTTTTCCCGTGGTTTTGAATGTCATCGCAACGCCATCTAATGACTATGGCGACCGCGTATAATTATTTCATATCAAAAAGTCTAATATTGCATTTATATCCATGGTTACATTGTTGAAAACTCCAATGCTGATAAACCAATTGGACTTGTAACGCAGCTAGTGTTTTCGCGGTAAAATAATTAACCTTCAATTGAGTTTGGCCAGGTTGAGTGCGAATTTCAAGAGGAGTGAAGTAGTCATTGGAAGTCATTGTTGAAACTGTGGTTCACGTATGACATCAGTTTTCACATTGACGTACCTATCAAATCAACGGCTTGATATATCCATTTCGTTATATCTTCAAATGAAGATCAAACGTTCATTCTAAAAGGTTTATTTTGTTTGTGAGGTTGCTTCACTAGCCAACGCTCTCTATTTGAAATTCCACATTTATAAAATGCAATGCCATTTCCAACATTTTTGTCATGAATAGTTATTCCGTGGTTCGTTTGTGATGAATATATTTTCTTCAGAAAAGTTTTCGTCAAATAAATTGTAATACATGCCTACTGTCTATAATGACCAGTGAAACGATTCAAATAATTAACATTATCTAATTACATCAACTATCAATTCTTAGTGCCATAAACTGTGAATTTATGATCATTCCATAGAATTTATTTATATTTAATTTATATTTAGTTTCAACTTATCTTAAGAGTTCAAGCATTCCTTTCACTAAATTGCGTTCAAAGAATTTCCTTTAACTTATATTCAATTTGGTCCATTTCTTCTGGGAAATAGAGCTGTTGAATTAAATTAAATATAAATTAAATATAAATGAGATTCTATGAACAGACCATCAAAGTTGAATATGGAATGGATGTTTCTGACTTGTGAAAATCCAGACAAGAAACGTGAAAAGAATAAAAAGACATAACTTGAGAATCATTATTTCATTTGTGTTCAGTCGTTGGTGTGGGATAAGTTGGTGTTAGTTGGACTCCTAGGTGAAGCTCACTGTTGCAAACTCAACTTTTGTAGCTTGAAATCTAGAGAACGTGAAAGATTCAAATATTCACTTTTTTCGTAACAAGAAAAGAGTCAATAAAAATATTTAAGATCATCACTGGCAAGCGTCATCAAAGAGCATGACATTTTCCTTGATCTGATCGACTTGTTTCAACGTAACAAATTCCCGAATTGTGAACTGTGAAATTTTCAACATCTTAGACATTGTGACCCACTTAAGACCGGAGCACCCTTATGAAATCTATAGTTTTCAACCGATTTCTTTTTTTTTTTCTTTCAGCAGAAGGACTATCCGGAGATCAACGTTTACACAAATTTGCAAAATAAAATTTCAATCTACAGGGCATACTATCTTATTGATTTCATGTTAAAAATTGCGAAATATCATTAGCGATTAAAAAAAAATCGACCCACCACTGAATTCAGCATCCTTCAATTAGGTTGAGAGCGAAATTTCATTGACAAATTTCAAATGGCAACAAAGTTATAACAACAATAATTTTGATAGCTCACCATTTTTTATGAATATTTCAGATAAATTCTGAGAAGCGGCAACATTGTCAACACAAATGTTGGAAATCATGAAGTTTCTGGTGAACATTTGAATTAATAACACTGATTATTATCGAGTTATAATCTCTAGAATGGTACCCTTTATTTTCAATTAGATGGCTGCCCAGTGCATCATGCTAGGAATATCAGACAATGGATTGGTCGAGGAAGTGAATTAATTGGATGGCCATCCAGGTCTCCCGATTTAACCCCTCTTGACTTCTTCTTGTGGGGTTTTCTTGTACAAAAAGTTTACAAAACCCGCCCAAGAACTAGACAGGAGTTGTGTGAAAGAATACGTCAAGCTTGTCGGGAATTAACACCCGAAGGACTAAAAAATAATGTGAAAAATAGATATGAAAAATGTATTCAATTGAATAGTGGTTTTTAGTGGAAGCAACAAAAATTTGAAATGTATTGATTAGGGCTAGATAGTTATGGACCGAGATTATTCATTGATGTATATTATTGAACTCATTTGTACGATGGCTGGTAGAAAATTTGGAAATGATAAAATTAAGATGAAGTTATTATTTGATACGAAAATTCTTGGCTGTTGACAATTATTGGGAGAATCCGATTTTTCGACGTTATGGATTTTTCATTTAATAAATCTTATCATGAATACCAAGATAAATTCCATTTTAGATGTTATAACTCGATAATAATTTGTGTTTTCAATTCAAATGTATAACAGAAATATCAATGATTTCGAACATTTGTGTTGACAATGTTGACGCTTCTCAGCATTTGTCTGAAATATTCATTAAAAATGGTGAGCAATCAAAATTAATATTGCTATAACTTTGTTGCCAATTTAAATTTTTCAATGAAATTTTGCGCTCAACCTAATTGAAGGATGCTGAATTCAGTGGTGGGGTCGATTTAATTTGAAAAAAATCGCTAATGATATTTCGCAATTTTTAACATGAAAAAAAAAACATAGTATGCCCTGTAGATTGAAATTTGACTTTGCAAATTTGTGTAAACGTAGATCTTCGGATAGTCCTTCTGCTGAAACGAAGAAAAAGAAATCGGTTAAAAACTATAGATTTTATAAGGGTGCTCCGGTCTTAAGTGGATCACACTGTATATTTGCACATAACACATTGATCGGATCGCTAAAAATGGCCAACCAAAACTTTCAAACAGGATCTACACTTCAACAGGGCATAAGTATTCTTCAAAATGATTGAAATGAATAAAATAATCACAGCTCTATGCATGATAAACTTAACAGATTAATGCGGTTCAAGTATGACACGTGCACGTGTTATTTCGTTGTGTGGTACAAGTGGGTGTAAGTAGGATTTAGGGAATATCTCGTTGTTATCAGATTTAATTCATAAGTTTCCTGGAGAAACTCATCGAATTCATTAGGAAACTATTATAGGAATTTCATATAACTCTTTCTTTTAATAGCAAACTGGTAAATTCATTTATATTGTTCAAAGCTTTCGGAACTTGAAGGTATGTTTTGTCGTCAGCTATCATTTTATCCCGGCAATAATAATGATAATAGAATAGCATGGAATAGAATATATAATAACAATAATAATAAGATAATAATGATAATAATCTATCTATCCAGACCATTCTGTGGAACTGGTCATCCTGATAATCAACGACATACGCTGCTCTCGGACATCCAGAAAATTCCAGCATGTCGTGATAAGGCACACATCCTGGTTGGTGGAATGCAGAAGGCCGCCATACTCGGACCATTGAGTCTACTCAGGGCTCATGGTACTTGCTCCCAGTGATCACTCACCCCGCGGGCTGTGACGAGTGGTCACTGGATTATATCCAGATCCACTCTGCGTGACGTCGGAGACCGCAGAGTTGTGACTGGAATGAATAATGAATAATAATGATAATAATAATAATATGCCTATTCTTATTGCCCGAAAAACAAAATAAGTAGATTCATAAACAAGACACACAAAGTCATCTCCACAAATTTATTGACTGTTAACAGTCCGAAACATGTACAGATACTGATTATTCAGTCAATGAATTTGTGGAGATGACTTTGTGTGTCTTGTTTATGAATCTATTCACTCCACTTTGAAGTACCATGGACTTTTACCATAGAAAATAAGTAGATCATCAATAGTACATAAAAATTAACAAACTGTAAGTGCGGAATTCAGCCAGTCCTATCCGGATACAGTATAACAGCTAGTGTTTTCAGGTGACTGCTGGTACTATTCCTGTCCTATTTTTAATGATTCAGCAATTAGATAAACAATATTAGTCAAGAGAATTGAAATTCAAAAAATTCATGCATCTGTCAGCTTTTTTGCACTTTTGTTAACTAACATTCTTATTCTGATCTTTTTTTTTCAGCATTGAGATGTTGAATGAAGACCAAATCAATTCACTCATGTTGGATACCAGTGTGGTGTGCGAGCAGGTTTTGGGAACACCCATGATGGAAATAGTGCCGTCACCCCAGTGTGTTTCCACTAGTAGTTTTTCTAATCAACCAGTGAAATAAATAGACCAAGCTAAGGAACCTTAGAGTACAAGACGAAAGTACCTAAATTCCACTCCGTAGGAAATTTCTAGTCATTTTATTGTTTTTAATTTATGTTTCATCAACGAATTATCAATGCTATAGTGCATTGCAAAACTTCAATCATCAGAGGAGTGGGGTAATCGAAAGTTTGTTATCTTATTATACTGTTGAATGTTGAAGGGTCACATTTTAGAAAGGGTTGGGTGGATCTGTTTGGATGCTTTGTTATCATTTTCAAGAAGTATAAACTTGGAGCAAATATTGCCATCGATATAAACTGATCGAAAAAATTTAGGATATTGTTTTTTTGCTATGAATTGAAATTCGAATTCCACTATATGCTGTAGGTCGCGCTCTTCCTAACCCCGCGAAAGTTTAGACATCTAGGAATCGGGTTACCAACTCAAAAGCAGCAAAATACAAGTCTCCAGAATTTCACAAAAACAAGGAAATTTTGTCGTTGCGTTCAAAAATATCCTTAGATTTTTCCGATCAGTTCAGATACGTCAAATATGATCTCTTTATATTAAACTTCGGCAATGTATAATGGAAGAATAATTAATTCTTCAATTGTTTCTTGGTGATTATGAAGGCCCAACATTTCTTAAAAATTCTGTTCATGTGTTTAGATGTATCATAAATTGATATTCATCATACAGGACGTGGAAAGAAATTCTGAATTGAGGAAACCAAATCACGAATCTGTGATTAGAGGTCTGTAAAAATAACAAATTTCCATCGTTCAAGTTTGAAACTCTTGACCCAATCAAGTTAAGTATACTTTTTGACAAAATGACAGTTGAGAAAATCAAGTCCGGCTATAGATTTTTTGAATGCGGTTTTTTCTCCAAGACTTCATCTTTCAATTTTGGGTCACCCACTATGACCACTTATACCTACTTTTGTTTCCAGAAATCATTTAGTTTTCAGGCACAATGTCTAGTGCATTTTTTTTTAAATTGTACCATTTGAAAAGTTATGTTTTTGGATTATCTTTCACCTAAGAATATCAAGATTAGATACGTCTGATTAGAAGCCAAATTGTTGTGAAATGGTATAAATTATTTGATCAGTTCACATAAACAAATTATTCGAAAGGAATATTCTCAGATATATTTTGAACATGAAAAATGGAAAAATATAAAGAAATACATTGAGAATTCTCATTCACTATCTGATAAAAATATCAATTCTTTCTTGGCATATTCAACAGAAAACAACTACATTACTGGCTATATGCCACGACGAACATTGAATAATTACATCTATTGAACACACTCAATATGGAATTGAAAATAAACTCTCCTAAAGTTGAAAAATTTATATGTATATGATGTCATTCGGAATATTCAACAGAAAACAACTACTTTTCTGGCTATTTGTCACACAAGTCCAACATTGAATAATTACATTTATTGAACTCCCAAAGAGGATATTAAAATGAAAATCTTCTGGAATTGAGAATTAACATTCTCTTCCAAATCGGAAAATACAACTTATTATCAATATATTCAGTATTGAAATGAAAATTGAAATGTATAGAAGTATATACTTGTACAAACTCATATCTTGCTGAGCTTGAACCTTCCAAAAATCATTTGGATCAGTGATGTTGGGGATACATCTCTCACAGTTATATGACATTTTTGTTTTGAATTGACTCGGCCGTTACTTGATGAAGTTTCATATAGTAAGTGTAAAAAACTTCACAAACGAACGATAAGATTCCAATAAAACTCTTAATTACACGACATGTTTCGATAACACAGTAGCTACTGGTACAATAAAACAGTTTATTGTACCAGTATTTCACCTGAAGAAACCACTGTGTTAGCGAAACATGTCCTATGATTAAGAATTTTATAGAAATCTTATCGTTTGTGAAGTTTTTTACATTTAGATATGACTTTATTCGATTGAAAATTGTATATTTTATGGAGGATGGCTGAAATAATAACTGGATTTCAGGTTCAGGTTTGATACCCGAAGTGAGTTCATTGGAATAAAGTCATATAACCTGTTTGTGAGAGATGTATCCCCAACATCGCTGATCAAGATCAAGATCAGAGTTTGTAGAAGTATACATCTCCTATACTTTTTGATTTTCATTTCAATACTGAATATATTGGTGAGTTATATTTTTATACATCATATTATTTAACCGATTTGAAATAGAATGTTCATTCCCAATTTCAGAAGACTTTTATCCATATTCTCCTATTGGGAATTCAACAAATGTAATTCAATGTTGGTCATGGCAAATAGCCAGGCGCGTTTTGGTGGACAATAAATAATATTAGCCCCCATTATGAAATTCAAGAGAAAATCTTAATATTTTTCCATTTCGGAACTTTTCGGATTGTTTTTTATCGAGTTCTTCAAAAAGAACACTCCATATATTTTTTGTCTATTTGATGTAAAATCATAAAACGAACATCTTGTGCCTACATTCTTATCGCTATTCGTAACCATTTCTGAATTATTGAACTTAAAATTTCAGATTGGTCATCTACATCGATACACATTCTTATCTGTAAATATCGAGGACTGGAAACTTTGGCACGATAATACACTACACTGTTTTACCACTAACCAAACCGATATTTTTAAACGCCTTGACACGTGTTTCGCTAACTAAGTTAGCATCTTCAGGAGACGATTAAAACCAAAATCTAATCTAATTTTTGGCCCAGTGATGACTCACTGACGTATTTTCAGTGCATTCCCAATGAAAATTGAGTGGTTTATTCTTACACAGAGAACTTTGAGGTTACATATAGAAAATATTATTTTACTGATAATAATGAGGACAATAATAATAATTACTACAATGAAACTTCTCGTATTCGGTTATATATCCACATCTGACCTGGTTTCCAAGAGTTAAGGAATTCCGTTTCTATTGATTGATATTGCAATATCCGGAATATTTGGAAGATGGCCAAAAACTCAAGAACTTCTCTTAATTGGTATCTGGAATGAACTAAATATTTGTGAATTTTAAGTAACCTATAAATCACAACTACATATTACCTAGCCTACTTCAGCAATAGTCAGGTGGAAACAAAGACTCCAGTCTGAGGTAGAAGTAGATAGCTTTTAGGACTGAAACTTCATGGTAGAGGTACTATAACATATCTCGAGGGATGTCCTGAAGAGGAATATCAGTTTACACTACTAAATCCGTTATTTTGATTTGATGAGATTGAATAATGCAATCATACAACTTTATATTTATTCACTTGTTCACTTCACATCTCACAATAACAAATGACGGATGGGACGGCTCATGCGCAAAAGGATAGTAAAAACAAAATGGAAGACCTAGCGAACATCAATGGTCGTTTGTCGAAAAAATGCTGTCACTAAAATGCATCTGATAGGCTGATGGTCCATTGTCATTTCATTGATGACTATGACATTGAGGAGCCATCACATACTGATGGAGTGCGTGACGCTGTACATCAGAAAAGATTGAAGATACTGGAAACACACCAACTGACTGTGGAAGAAATACCACAATCAAATCCTCTCAAAATCCTTAAATTCCTGAAGGAATTGAATCTTGAGGGGCTACTATGAACAAGAAATCCTTGATATAGCCGAAGCAGATGGGGCACAATAGATCTAATTAGGTCGCAGCGCATCTGTCACCATTCAACCTACCAATACCAATCAATATGGATATTGAGATGAAATATGTTCGTTTTTTGATCACACTTCAAATGGCCAAAATACAAAAAACAAAAAAATGGGGTATTCCATTTGAAAAAAATCACTTCGAAAAGTTCTGAATTGAAATAGTAAATTGCTGGCCGAACTCCGCTAACGCGTCGTTCAGTCATCTGCAATCGCGTGCGGAAAGGTCACTTTACGTGTTAGGTACACTATTTTTTATACTAGCGTGCCGAAAAAATCCCGGTGTTAACATGAAGAAACATTTATTATTAATAGTTATTTATGCAACAAGTGCAAAAAGTGAATGTTTATTGTACTATGTATGTACTAGCCTCACGGCCTCGTCGGACAATTTCACGTCGAGTGCAATAAACAATTTTTGCACGAGTAACATACAACATTTTCTCTACGTTCATGCAAAAAGCAAAACATGATTTATTGAGGTGCGGCACTAGGTACAATTCTGTTAATTGTCAGAATTAATTTTTGACTGACGTTTCTATAATCACAGTTGCAATATAAAAAATGTTTGTCATGATGACAACACGTTGAAGTAGAATGACAGATGAGTGCAATAAAAACTTTATTGCACTAAGTGCAATAAAGAACTTCTTTTTCCACTAAATATAGTTCAATAAAGTTCTGCTTTTTGCATGAATGTAGAAAAATACTTTTATGGAGATAAATTTCGTCAGGTGCTTCATTTATAAACTGGAATATTTCTTCTTTCAAGAAAATTTTTGCCTTCTTTGGTCTAAATCCAATGTTTTGTTTTTTTATATATTCCGTGACCTTAAACTTGCTCAAATCGAGGTTTTTTCTTAGTTTGATTACACTTTTTAACATTGAGTACCTGGACCAAAGAGTGTTTGGCTTGCATATTTTGGAAATTTCAGCGAAATAATCCAAAAAAAACGTCTTCTTTGAAACTTTTGATTCCCTTATTCTGACACCCGTTTTCAAACAAATTATATTCCTTTTCATACCTGTGACGGGATTTTGATGGTAGTAGATCCAAGTTTGCAGTTCTAGCCGCTTCCAAAACTGCAGTGCGGAAAAGTGACTCTTTCAACACTGAAATGAGTGCGGAAAAGTGAACTTTTCCGCACGCTAGTAGGGAAAACCCTGTGTAATTTGAGGGTATTAAAATCCTTCAGATATATCACCCATATTTCCATCAAATAATATGATTTTTTTCTCTTGAGTTTCTTAATTGGAACGACAGTGGTTCCTAATAAAAATAATTTATTGCACTTAGGTAATTCACATAATACAAACATATCTTAATAATATATAAAATTCTCCTGTCCCGGTCACGGCTGAA